AAAATCAAAAGGCTGAGATCAGACAACGGGGGAGAATATACTTATGATCCATTCCTTAAAGTATGCCGAGATGAAGGGATCGTTCGACACTTCACTGTTCCTGGTAAGCCACAACAAAATGGAGTTGCTGAGAGAATGAACCAGACATTAACAAAGAAGGTTCGATGCATATTGTCTCAAGCAGGATTGAGTAAAGCATTTTGGGCTGAGGCTCTCAGTTATGCAGTTCACTTGGTGAATCGTTTACCTGTTTCTGGAAATGGTGGGAGAACTCCGCTTGAGGTATGGTCAGGTAGTCCTGTTAGTGATTATGATAAATTGCATGTGTTTGGGTGTCCTGCTTATTATCATGTGACAGACTCAAAGCTGGATCCTAGAGCAAAAAAAGCCAAGTTTATGGGGTTTAGCAAAGGTGTGAAGGGCTATAGGTTATGGTGTCCATGTGACATTCGATGAGTCTGGAATGTTTTTGCAGAAAATTGAAAATAATGACGAGGCATTGAAGCAGGTGGAGAAGGTGGTGTTCTCTCCTGATGTGGTTGCTCTTACTGAAGAACCTATTGATCAGGTAAATAATAACTTTGATGTCTTAGAATAGAAAGAGCAAAGTCTTGAGGAGCAAAGCCTTGTAAATGAAAAAGTGGAGGAACCTGAGTCAATCGCCAAGAATAGACCACGAAGGGTAATTCGAAAACCTGCAAGGTTTGATGATACGATAGCATATGCTTTCTCTTTGATTGATGGAGTTCCTAACAGTTACAATGATGCTATTCAGAGCCCGGATAGCTTACACTAGCAAGAGGCTGTGAATCAGGAGATAGCATCATTGGAGATAAATCAAACTTGGGATTTGGTACAGCTTCCAAAAGGTAAGAAGAAAATTGGTTGTAAATGGGTTTTTGCAAAAAAGGAAGACCCTTTTGGTATACGTTATAAAGCTCGACTTGTGGCTAAAGGCTACGCACAAAAAGAAGGTATTGATTACAATGAAATTTTCTCACCTGTGGTAAAACATTCTTCGATTCGAATATTGTTGGCTTTGGTTGCTCAATTTAATCTTGAGCTTGCACAACTCGATGTAAAAACTGCCGTTTTGCATGGAGATTTGGAAGAAGAAATATATATGGCGCAACCAGTTGGTTTCCGAGTAGTTGGACAGCAACATTTAGTATGCAGATTGAAGAAATCTTTGTATGGGCTGAAGCAATCCCCTCGCCAATGGTATAAAAGGTTTGATCATTTCATGGTAGAGCATATGTATACTCATAGTCAATTTGACCATTGTGTGTATTATCGATGTCTCGATGATGGATCGTTTATTTACTTGCTCTTATATGTTGATGATATGTTAATTGCTTCAAAGAGACAGGTGGAGATTGATAAACTCAAAGATGAGCTTTCTAAAACATTTGAAATGAAAGACTTAGGCAATGCAAAGAAAATACTTGGAATGGAGATAGAGCGAGATCGGAAAAAAGGTACAGTCTGGTTGACTCAGTCTCAATATCTACGCAAGGTATTGTCAAGATTTAGTTTGAATGATTCAACCAAACCCGTTAGTACTCCACTTGCTCCTCATTTCAAGCTTAGTGCTTCCATGTGTCGAAGTTCTGACGATGACAAAAGGTATATGGAGAATATTCCTTATACAAATGTTGTTGGTGCGTTGATGTATGCTATGGTGTGTACTCGACCTGATCTTTCACACGCAGTAAGCATGGTGAGTCGTTATATGCATAATCCTGGTAAAGAGCATTAGCAGGCTGTAAAATGGATTCTTAGGTACATTCTTGGCACTATTGATGTTGGTATTAAGTTTCAAAAACAAGAAATGTTTAATCTTGACAATCGTGTAGCTGGTTTTGTGGATTCTGATTATGCTGGTGATTTGGATAAGCGACGATCTACTACGGGATATTTATTTACTATGGCTGGTGGACCTGTTTGTTGGCGTTCAACATTGCAGTCTACTGTTGCATTGTCTACCACTGAAGCAGAGAATATGACAGTAACGGAAGCTTTTAAAGAAGCTATTTGGATGCATGGTTTGATCAATGACTTGGGTATTTTGCAGGGACATATAGATGTATTTTGTGATAGCCAGAGCGCTATTTGCTTGTCAAAAAATCAAGTCCATCATGCTCGTACAAAACACATTGATGTTCGTTTTCACTTTATTCGAGAAATTATTAGCAAAGGGGATATTCGTTTACTAAAAATTGGAACTGCTGATAACCCTGCTGACATGTTGACAAATGTGATCGCTCGTGAAAAGTTCTGCCATTGTTTGGATCTCATCAACGTCGGAAGGAAGGAGTAGTGTGTTGACGTGGTAGCAACCAAATTCGCTATCAACTTGGAGATCTTATGACAAGGTGGAGATTGTTAAACACTGTCATAAGCCCTATTCTCTAGGACCTCAAGGATTTGCTAATATTTTTAGGCTTGTTAGTTTATCTTTAGGTTTAGGGCAAAAGGCTATATAATGTCATTCTTTCTGCTGTTGAAAAATCAAGTTTTTGAATGCAATATTGTATGTCTTGAGTGATTTTGGTGTTGTGAGTACATTTGTTCCGCTTTCGGCGCACAACAGAAATAAATATTCCTGAAAGTTACGTGCTACTCTTATTTTTCAGGTAAAGATAAAGCACTCATGTACGGATGACGGCATCCGATGATGGCCATAGAACTAGTATTAAGGTAGTCGCATTTATGTCTATTTTGTAGCACTTAAGTTAGATCAGCACATTGTTTTATTCTATGATATTTATTTCAACGTTTAAATATTTTTTTTTACTAGGAACGTTTAAGTCCATAGTATCGTTTATGAATTATTTTAAAGGAATGTTTTCACACTTAACCGTCATGTTATATATGTAGTAGTGACTTTATTGTAGTAGAAGAATAGGGTCGTTATACTTTAACTTTCAAAAGAACCATTATATTTGCATAAATTTCAGTAACACCTTTTAATTTTTTTAGAAACTTCAAAAATAATATCGAGATAATCTAAGAGGTGCAGATAGATGTTTCCGTCCATAAATTGATGGTAAAATTTTATGAGTATTTCTGAAACGTAATACTCTTTTTTTTTTCTTTTTTTTTGTAGAAATATTGGCCGATGTTTTTCTTTTTTTTTTTTTTAACCGATCTTATACTCTTGGGCAATTTCTTTATTTACTGTAAATGTTACCTAACTTATTAGGGTGAAAATCGCTACCCAAGAAGGAGTCGACCAAAGATATAAGTCATATTGACTAAGGCCTCATGGCTGATCACAGGACGGAAAGAGGGAATATAATCCCGTCCTCGACCCCATTTAACTAAAGGAAAAATATGTTTTCCATTTCCTCCCTCATTTTCGATATAAATGAAGAATCTATCTCAATTCAGAGTGAATCTTCGGGATAAAATGGACATCTCTACTCATGGCTCAATAATCCTAAATGCGCCGTTTGGTAAAAGATAGGGGGTGTACATGGTCCGGGTTGAGTTGGGTTGGTTGAGAGATTTTTTTTACCCAACCCAAAAGTTCGGGTTGGTTGGATTGGTAACCCAACCCAACTCAAAAATTTTTGGGTCGAGTTTTTCCTTCTTTCTAAAGTTCAGAAGCTCGCAGACCAAGACAAGCAGTCGACCACACTGAGACCGACGACGAGACTGAGACGAGCACACTGAAATCAACGATGTGAGACTCAAAAAGGGATACGAAAACCGACAACGACCGACAAAAAAAAAAAAAACAAAGAGTCTCTAGCTTGAACTTTCTAATTATTGTGGTATTTCAGAAGCCGTCACCGTTGTAAGTACCGGTAGCTGTACATTTCAAGTAGAGAGAGAGAGAAAGCACTGCAGCTGCCGATTGATTTGGCTTGGTTGCTTCAAATTGAAATTTTTTTTTGTGGGTTTCAAAATTCTTTTAATGTTTTCGGTTGGGTCGGGTTGACCCATCAATTCCTTTTGGAATCCGAACACAATCCAAATTTGATTGAGTTCAAAAAAATAAACCCAACCCAAATCCGAGAATCATTCCAACCCAACCCAACCCTTATAATTCAGGTTGGGTCGACTTGACCCCATCAATTTTTTTGGAACCCGAACACAATTCAGACCTGGTTGGGTTCAAAAAAATGAACCCAACCCAAAACCGAGAATTAATCCAACCCAATCCAACCCTTATAATTCATGTTGGGTCGGGTTGGGTTGACCCCATCAATTTTTTCTGGAACTCGAACATAATCCAAACTTGATTGAGTTCAAAAAAATGAACCCAACCCAAATCCGAGAATTAATCTAACCCAACCCAACCCTTATAATTCAGGTTTGCTCGGGTTGACCCCATCAATTTTTTTGGAACCCGAACACAATCCAACCCTGATTGGATTCAAAAAAATGAACTCAACCCAAACTCGAGAATCAATCCAACCCAACCCAACCCTAATAACTCAGGTTGGGTCACGTTGACCCCATCAATTTTTTTTAGAACTTGAACACAATCCAAACCTTATTGGGTTAAAAAAAGTGAACCCAACCCAAATTCGAGAATCAATCCAACCCAACCCAACCCTAATAACTCAGGTTGGGTCACGTTGACCCCATCAATTTTTTTTGGAACCCGAACACAATCCAAACTTGATTGGGTTTAAAAAAATGAACCCAACCCAAATCCAAGAATCAATCCAACCCAACCCAACCCTTATAATTCAGGTTAGGTAGGGTTGACCCATCAATTTTTTTGAAACCCGAACACAATCCAAACCTGATTGGGTTCAAAAAAATGAACCCAACCCAAATCCGAGAATCAATCCAACCCAATCCAACCCTTATAACTCAGGTTGGGTCGGGTTGTTCCCATCAATTTTTTTTGGAACTCGAACACAATCCAAACCTGACTGGGTTAAAAAAAAAATGAACTCAACCCAAATTCGAGAAACAATCCAACCCAACTCAACCCTTTTTGTCCCTCCAAAAGTTCCCAAATGGTTGCATTTGATCCCAACGAACTTCCCAACGGCGTAATATAAATTGATTTTGGCTCCGTTTTCTTCATCAGCGGAGGAAAAAGAATCAAAATATGAACTCAATCTCCACCTCACACCTCCCATCTCCCTTCGAACCAGTAGATTTCTGAAGTGTTTTGCAAATCTCCATTTCAGCAATTTAGGCTTCGCTTTAAAGGTATTCATTCTGTTCAATCTCAAATTTCAACGTTTAGGAAATTCAATGGTGTTTTGAATGATTCTCCCCTCTCTGTCATTCACAGGCGAGAAACAGTACCATGGAAAACTCCATTGCTTTCAAGTATCTTTCCCCTTCTCCTCCGCTTGCTTCTTCTGCTAGATTATGCTTCTTCTCGAGTAAGCTGAGAGGTTCAAGACCCACATCAGTTCCTTGCCATGATCTCGAATGGAGGTCGAAACGCTTCGTGTTTAAGCAAAAAATGGTGGTTAAAGCTAGTGCGAAGGTGGAGGAGACCAGTGCTAAGGAGAGTGCTTATAAGAGCGAGTGGGGGAAGGTTTCGGCTGTGTTGTTTGATATGGATGGAGTTCTATGTAATAGTGAGGACCTATCTCGAAGGGCTGCCGTCGATGTTTTTAGTGAATTGGGTGTTGAAGTCACCCCTGAAGACTTTGTGCCATTCATGGGAACTGGTAATTGAAGATGAACTAGCTTTTTTTTTTTTCTTTTGTTCATCAAAGCTTACTTCGCTGATGATTTGTTGTTCTCTTTGGGTTTTCCCCATGGAACTTCCCCTCAAGGTTTTTAAAATGCGTCTGCTAAGGAGAGATTTCCACTCTTATAAAAGGTGTTTCGTTCTATTAGGGGAGGTTTCCACACTCTTATAAAGGGTGTTTTGTTCTGCTAGGGGGGAGGTTTCTACACTCTTATAAAGGGTATTTCGTTTTGCTAGGGAGAGGTTTCTACACTCTTATAAAGGGTGTTTCGTTTTGCTAGGGAGAGGTTTCTACACTCTTATAAATGGTGTTTCGTTCTGTTAGGGAGAGGTTTTGGAGAGGTTTTGGAGAGGTTTCTACACTCTTATAAAGGGTGTTTCGTTCTGTTAGGGAGAGGTTTCTACACTCTTATAAAGGGTGATTCGTTCTGCTAGGGAGAGGTTTCCACACTCTTATAAAGGGTGTTTCGTTCTGCTAGGGAGAGGTTTCCACACTCTTATAAAGGGTGTTTTGTTCTCCTAGGGAGAGGTTTCCATACCCTAAGGGTGTTTGGTTCTCCTAGGGAGAGGTTTCCACACCCTTATAAAGGGTGTTTCGTTTGACTAGGGAGGGGTTTCCACACCCTTATAAAGGGTGTTTCGTTCGATTAGGGAGGGGTTTCCACACCCTTATAAAAACACGTCGGCTAGGGAGAAGTTTCCACACCCTTCTCCAATCGATGTGGGACCCCCCAATCCAACCCCTTTGGGGTCCAACGTCTTTGCTGGCACACTGCCTCGTGTTCACCCCCTTTGGGGCTCAGTCTTCTCTCTGGCACATTGCCCGGTGTTTGACTCTGATACCATTTGTAATAGCCCAAAAAGGACAATATCTACTAGCGGTGGGATAATCATTACTAGTAATACTTATTTTAATCGAGAGCTGAAGTATGAAAATGGCTATGCTAAATTTGTTGTCGTTAGTCGATTATACGAGTTACGTATGATGTGAGGTTGTAAGATTGCTGAAAATCCTACTATTTTGGCATGGGGAGGTCGAATCATGTAATACATAGCTGCCATCACCATGGCTCGCAATGGCTGCCTCTCTTTCAATTTTTTCTCATCCAATGCATAACATTCAACCTGAAGGCTTCTCAATCTGCATCATCTAATGAATTTCATATGATACAATGTGGTAGCTACATACTCTGATACTGATAATTAATATAAACGTTTGAATTTCCGCTTCATTATACCAGGTGAAGCGAACTTCTTAGGAGGTGTTGCATCAGTAAAAGGGGTAGCTGGATTTAGTCCTGAGGCAGCAAAAAAGAGGTTTTTTGAGATATATCTAGAGAAGGTAATCAGTTTGCAACATATTCCCCTTATTTTATTGGCTAAGTATGTGTTTTTCTTGTTTAATCCTTATCGTTTCAAAAGTTTTCATTCAGTTTTTTATGTATGAACATTTTTCAATTGTACCACTTGTGTTAGTGGAGGTTAATTGTAAATGATGATTAAAACTTGCACGAAATTATACCGAGTATACTAGCAAAACTTTAGAAGAGGAATATGTAACAACCCAAGCTCACCGCTAACAGATATTGTTTTCTTTGAGTTTTCCCTTTCGGGCTTCCTCCAAAGGTTTTTAAAAACACGTTTGCTAAAGAGAGGTTTCCACGCCCTTATAAAGAATGCTTCATTCTCCTCCCCAACCGATGTGGAATCTCACAATCCACCCCCCTTCGGGGCCTAGCATCCTCGCTGGCACTTGTTTCCTTCTCCAATCGATGTGGGATCCACCAATCCACCCCCTTTTGGGGCCCAACATTCTTGCTGGCACACTGCCTCGTTTCCGCCCCCTTCGGGGCCTAGTCCTCTCGTTGGCACTCACCCATTGTCTAGCTCTGATACCATTTGTAACTGCTCAAGTCCACCGCTAGCAGATATTGTTCTCTTTGGGTTTTCCCTTTCGGGTTTCCCCTCAAGATTTTTAAAACGTGTCTGCTCAGGAGAGGTTTCCACACCCTTATAAAGAATGTTTCATTCTCCTCCCAACCGATGTGAGATCTCATAAGTCCCCCAATTCCTCCAAAATTGTAAGAAAAATTCGTACTTTTTCCTATTACATAGCTTAATTCTTTCTCCAAATTTCAGTAACTTACTAAGTATCATGGTGTGTTAGTTTATCATAAGTCACATGTAACATCCGCCTACAGAACCAATATAATTGAAAAATGTTATACTCACAAGGGACTAAATTGAAGCTTTCTGAATAATATGGATTAAATTGAAAAAATTATATTTAGCCTATTTCGTTCGTCTGAAAATTCAGTTAAATCTTTGCTATATCGTTTGCTAACTTCGAACTGTAATTGATGATTTTGGCATAATAGTATGCAAAGCCCAATTCTGGAATAGGCTTTCCTGGTGCACTGGAACTCATTACTGAGGTGTGTTCTTGTGGAATGCAAGCTGCTTGTACTCATTATTCTGATGATCATCATCATCATGAAACTTACTATTTGAGTTTGGCTATCATTATTAGTGTAAAAGCAAGGGCCTTAAAGTTGCTGTTGCATCGAGTGCTGATCGTATCAAGGTTGATGCAAATTTAGCTGCTGCAGGGTTACCGCTGTCAATGTAAGTTTGATTGTATGTTACACTTAACCGTCTCTGGGTCTAGTTTAATATTTCTTAAGAATGTAACTTTCTGATTACTCGTATCTAGCTACAAAGTTAAAATAGAATGGGTAAGATCCCACATTGGTTGAGGAGGAGAACGGACCTCCCTTTATAAGGATGTGGAAATCTTTCCATAGCAAATGCGTTTTAAAAACCTTGAGGGGAGGCTCGAAAGGGAAAGCCCAAAGAGGATAGTATCTGTTAGCAGTGGACTTAGGCTGTTACAAATGGTATCAGAACCAGACATTGAGCCATGTGGCAGCAATGAGGCTAAGCCCCGAAGGGGGATGGACACGAGACGGTGTGCCAGTAAGGACACTGGGCTCCAAAGAGGGGTGGATTACAGGGGTTCCACATTGATTGGAGAATGGAACGAGTGCTAGCGAGGGCGCTAGGCCCCGAAGCGGGGTGGATTGTAAGATCTCATATTGGTTGGAAGGAGAATGAAACACCCTTTATAAGGGTGTGGAAACCTTTCCCTAGCAGATGCGTTTTAAAAACCTTGAGGGGAAGCCCGAAAGGGAAAGCCCAAAGAAGACAATATTTGTTAGCGGTGGACTTGGGCCGTTACAAATGGTATCAGAGCTAGACACTGGGCAATGTGCCAGAAATGAGGCTGAGCCCCGAAGGGGGATGGACACAAGGCGGTGTGCCAGTAAGGACGCTGGGCCCCAAAGAGGGGTGGATTGCAGGGGTCCCACATCGATTGGAGAATGGAACGAGTGCCAGCGAGGATGTTAGGCCCCGAAGTGGGGTGGATTGTAGGATCCCACATTGGTTGGGGAGGAGAACGAAACACCCTTTATAAGGGTGTGGAAACCTTTCTCTAGCAGACACGTTCTAAAAACCTTGAGGGGAAGCCCGAAAGGGAAAGCCCAAAGAGGACAATATCTATTAGTGGTGGATTTGGGCCGTTACAAAATGGTTTCATACTCCGTAAATTGAAGTGCTATGATGATTCAATTAGATAGTTGCAATCAATTCAGAGTTCATAGGTGAAACATGGTTTAGATTTTTTGCTAGAAAGGAATTCTCGTCTCGTTAAGACCAAATATCGTTTCGAAGAAAAATTTAAAGCATAATATATGTAATGCCATTCTTCTCGAATATTAAACAGTAAATGTTATCAAATTTGGTTCAGAAAGTAGTCATGAAGAGAATAATCTGGAAACTAGCTGCAAATATTTTGGCTCATGACTTTCTCATGTTTTTAGAGTAAAATTTTCAATATAATTTTTCTCTATGAATTGTTTAAGATTTTTAATTATGAATTTATGCTTCTTTTATAGGTTTGATGCCATAGTATCAGCTGATGCTTTTGAGAATCTGAAACCTGCACCCGACATATTCATAGCTGCATCGAAGTTGTTAAATGTACCAACGGATGAGGTACAATGATTGGCCAACTCTCGGCCCGTGCCCTTCTCTCTTTCTTCTTTCCACGGCTCCGATGTGTAAAGCCATCAGTTTCGTTTCTTTCTTCTTTTTGGCATTAAGGACTTGCTGTACATTGCTTGTAAAATGTTCCTAGGCGTGCAGGATGTTCATTATGTTACTTTGTCTTATTTCTTGTATGCTAGTGTTAATGTGAGATCACACGTCGGTTGGGGAGAGAACGAAACATTCTTTATATGGGTGTGGAAACCTCTTCCTAGCAAACACGTTTTAAAAACCTTGAGGGGAAGCTCGAAAAGGAAACCCAAAGAGGACAATATCTGCTAGTGGTGGACTTGTGTCAACGAGAAGACTGAGCCCTAAAGGGGAGTGGACACGAGGTGGTGTGCTAGCAAGGACGTTGGGTCCCGAAGGGTAGTGGATTGGGGGGTCCCACATCGATTGGAGAAGGTAACAAGTGCCAGCAAGGACATTGGGCGCCGAAGGAGGTGGATCGTGAGATCCCATGTTGGTTGGGGAGGAGAATGAAGCATTATTTATAAGGGTGTGGAAACCTTTCCCTAGCAGACGCATTTTAAAAACCTTGAGGGGAAACCCGAAAGGAAAAGCGCAAAGAGGACAATATCTACTAGCGGTGGACTTGGGCCGTTACAGTTAAACTAATCCATTCGCTTGTCTTTAAAAGATTGCTTTCCCTAGGTAGTCTCTTGCAGAATATCCTAATAATGTGGCCTTTGCCTTGACGATAAAGTTCTCGTCTTCATTCTCTTTGTTTGTTTTATTTCTGTAGTCTCTATTGTCTATCTATTTTATTCATTTTGGTAAAAGATCTATCCAGGTCAATTATTTGAATAGGTAAATAATAAATATATAATCTTGAAATCATTTTCTACGTATCATCTGATCTAATATACGTCGTTCGATCTCTGTTTTCTGGATTCTAAATGCTATTGTGCTGTTATAACTATTTTCGATATTTTCTCAGTGCATTGTCATCGAAGATGCACTAGCTGGAGTGCAAGCTGCCCAAGCTGCAAAAATGAGGTACCGAAAGTTTTCACCTTCTCTCTCTATTAGAACATGTGATGTCCCAAATTGGTTGGGGAGGAGAACAAACCACCATTTATAAGGGTGTGGAAACCTTCCCCTAGCAGACGCGTTTTAAAGCCTTGAGGGGAAGCCCGAAAGGGAAAGCCCAAAGAGGACAATATCTGCTAGCGGTGGATCTGGGCCGTTACAAATGGTATTAGAGCCAGACACTGGACGATGTGCCAGCCTTCTCGCTGTTCCCCGAAGGGGGGTAGACTAAGAACGCTTGGCCCCAAAAGGGGGTGGATTTGGGGGCAGTCTCACATCGATTGGAGGAAGGAAAGAGTGCCAGTGAGGACACTGGGCCCCGAAGGGGGGTGGATTGTGATGTCTCACATTGGTTGGGGAGGAGAACAAAGCACCATTTATAGGAGTGTAGAAACCTTCCCCTAGCAGACGCGTTTTAAAGCCTTAAGGGGAAGCCCGAAAGGGAAAGCCCAAAGAGAACAATATCTGCTAGCGGTGGATCTGAGCCGTTACAGAACAAGTAATGTGATGGGTGATAAGTACGGTTTGATCTATCAACACTAGACTTCACTACTTCCTTCGTATCGTTGTCCCGTTATTGTTCGATTTACTTCTCTCTTTCTATGTAAACACTAATAAATATATGAACTCTTGCAAGAAAGATGTGTTTTTTTTTTTTTTTGTTTTTTTTGTTAAATGGTGTTTTATATTGCTTGCAGATGCATTGCTGTTAAAACTACATTATCAGACGAAACTCTAAAGACTGCTGGTCCATCGCTTATTCGAAATGATATAGGAAATATCACAATTCATGATATTCTCTCTGGTGGTTCTGATGCCTCTAGTATGTAGCCATGAGAATACATTGTGATGTCATTTTGTACCACCATTAATGTTGAACATTCGAGCTATATCTGTGCCGTGTTACATGAATTATAACAGCAATTCCTTTTTCTTTGATCAGAAGTATGTATGAGGAGAACACTTTTGAATAAATTTCTTTTTACATTATCTAATTGGCTTTGTTCTTGGATAGTGTTTGTTTGTGTAATTAAATTGTTTCTGTCTAATAGTTTGAGTTAGTATTTGGCGCATATCATTGCAGATGAGAAGATACAGGGATCTCAATTTCTTCAAACCTCTGAACAAATTTCCCCACAAAAAGATACCTCAGGCATTGATGCTGCTGCTGTGCAGGACTCGGAGGCCGTCAATGATGGTTCGTTGTCAATCGGAAGGTAGAGGTCAATAGAACTTTTTCATCATCTATGGTTCGTTGTCAATTACTGTTCATATTGAAATGCTGTATACCTCTATTTCCATTCAAAGAAACTGCCTTGAGGTAAATACACCAGCACAACACGAACATGGCGATATATCAATTTCTAAACAAGTAGGACACAACCTGTTGGGGACACGTTATGCATGTATAAAAGTACAGACACCAACACGACATGAACATGGCGACATGACAATTTCTAAACAATTAGGACACAACATGTTGGGGGTATTTTATGTATATATAAAAGAACAATACTATTTATTTCGGCTATGGATCAAGTTGTGTGTGTCATGGGGCCAAAATGAAGGGAGCTTGGCTATGGGTCGGGTCATGTGGGGTTTGGGGAAAAAGACTCATCTTGTGGGTCGGATGCAACAACATAGGTTTTGTTGTTCATTTCTTCCTCTGTGATGCCCGTGACTTCGGTTGGGATCTCTAAACTTTGGTTCAAGTCGCATATATAATGGATCGAAAAGAATTGCACAACTTTCTCTTTGAAAGTGTCTTCATCCTCATTGTGGCATGCGATTCGACATAATGTTTCATCGATTGATTCTTCTCCCCCTCAACGCTTGCAACTCTGATTCACCATTGTCTTCAACCATGTTGCATTTTGTTTGTTGCTGCTGACTCTGTTTCATTTGTCTCTTCCTCTTCCTCTGCTCCCTCATTGCACGGCTTTTCGTCTTTGTTTGTTTTCACATGTAAGAACTATGTGCAACTCTGAATGCTTCATCGTTATATCCCCATTGACAAGGATTGCATCTTAGAATATCATTCCCTTTTTTATTTGTGGAGTGGCTGCATCAACAATAGTTTATTATCTAAGTACTTGAGAAATATACATGTTTCCAGAATTTTTTAGATTCTTCGGTGAATCGTGGACAGGTTGCAGGGTACTAGGCGAGATATAGTGAGATACGGAAGCTTGGGCATTGCTCTTTCGTGTCTCGTGTTTACCATTACGAACTGGAAGGTGCATATTTTTTACCAACACGATCCAACTTTCTAAGGTTTAGTCTCTTACTTAACTCATGCATACAATTCCCCAGGCAATGCAGTATACATCTCCTAAAGCTATTTGGAATTTGTTCTTTGGAGTTAACCAACCTTCTTTCCAAAATAATGCAAGCTCAGGTATAATATAATGCTTCTTCACGCTGAGTTAATGCTTCTTAATTTTATTTATAGAAAGTGTAACTTATTTAGGAGAAATTTACATGAAAGGAAGAGTGTATGCCATTTCTCGAGCGGGTTATTCTATTCCACCTCTTAGAAAGAAAAGAACTGATCCTTTTGCACTAGTACTGTTGCGAGACTGGTACTTGGCGGCTCACAAGCAACATATAGATTGACGGTTGTCCAAAGGCAGGGTATTGACATTGATGGAAAAAAAATCATTATTATAGAAAATTTTGGACCCGAGACACTGATATGAAGTGTCGGGCCCCAAGCTCTCTATACTTACACAAGAATGGCTTAATAGAGAGTCGAGTAGTTGTAGTTGCTTAAAAGAGAGATAGTATGTACATTCTGAAGTAGGAAAACTTGGAAGACGGGTGTTGTTCGAAAGAGAAGATTGAGAGGAATTATTATCGAAAACTCTCTTGTTTTTCTGTTCATCAACTTTTATACTTCTTATGGGATTTTACTGTCTTATAATATGACTCCTTTGTTCATTTCATGGTTTTACGTCCTTGTTATGACATGATATTCATCAGAACGAGGAACGAAGTTGAAACTTATCTCCTTTGACTGGGTATAGGTGGTCCCATACGTGACAGAATCCAACGATTCATCGAATATATATCAGAAATCGAAACCAGGTGAATTGCATTAGAAGTTTCGATGTTCAGTTCATTCATATAATGAAATTAGTCAACACTGACTTAGTTTGTTCTTGTGCATGTGTAAGGGAAACTGCTCCTGTTGTGCCAGAATTTCCATCAAAACTCGATTGGCTAAATAGTTCTCCCCTTCGGTTCCGCGAGGTAATTGTTGCTTTGATGTGAACGAAAATTTCTAACCGATGTATATGCTCGTTAAAATCGTTCCAATCTTTGGTAGGATTTGAAAGGAAAAGTTGTTCTCCTCGATTTTTGGACCTATTGTTGTATAAATTGCATGCATGTTTTGCCGGACTTGGAGTATTTGGAGAAGAAGTACAACGACAAGGCGGTAAGTCCTTTGTATGTTATCATTATATATTTGGAATTAAATTGATGTACACCGCAAAGAGCATGGATGTACAGACACGTGCACGTATTGTAGGTGCAAAGAATTCACTTACAGGAATTTATATATGTGAATTTGGAGGAATGCTCGAGTAAAACAACGTACTATGTAATAACGAAACCACCGGAATTGATTATTTGGTAGTGCAAGACAACTTTGAGGCCTGAAATATCATTCTCATACATAGTTCCCTTTCACTGAACTTGAGACATTGTAGAATTGTTCTCAGTCGAACAGCTTGCGAAAAAATCACTCTCCTCTTGTTTCTATTTAGTCCCACGACATGTTAAGCAAGCAAGGTATTAGGCCAAGTAGCTGCAAAAGAAAGAATGTACGAGAAGGGGAGGGGAGGGAGGGTTACTGTGAGATCCCACATCTGTTGGGGAGAAGAACGAAACATTCTTTATAAGGGTGTAAAAACCTCTCCCTAGCATACGCGTTTTAAAAACCTTGAGGGGAAGCCCGAAAGGGAAGGCCCAAAGAGAACAATATCTGCTAGCGGTGGGCTTGGGCCATTACAAATGGTGTATCAAAGCCAGACACCAGGCAATGTGCCAATGAGGAGGCTGAGCCTTGAAGAGGGTGGACACGAGGCGGTGTGCCAACAAGGATGTTGGGCCCTGAAGGGGGGGTGGATTATGAGATCCCACATCGGTTGGAGAGGAGAACAAAGCATTGTTTATAAGGGTGTGAAAACCTCTCCATAGAATATACATTTTAAAAACCTTGAGACGAACCCCGAAAAGAAAAGCCCATAAAGGACAATATCTGCTAGCAGTAGGCTTGGTTTTGGGTTGTTACAGGTCAGGTGACCTGTTGGCTAAGGGCTTGGGTTCTTTTGGTCATACCGGCTTGAACCTTCAGGTGAGTTTAATACAAAAAATCCTTGATGTCTCATAGGTCTGGGACTCAGGGCAGGTGCGGGGTCTTCTGGGTGTACGAGAGAAAAGCTCCAACTCACGGTTATGCATATATATAAAAGAACCAAACTGATATGCATTAAAGAGCCAGTTTAAAGATCATGGTTTCGAAATCAGTTCCTTAGATATTCTCATTTTTGTACAGTTTGCAGTGGTTGGAGTTCATTCGGCAAAGTTCGACAACGAGAAAGACTTGGAAGCTATCCGCAATGCAGTCTTACGCTACGGCATTACTCATCCAGTAAGCTTAATCCGCAATGTGTTAATGTTTCATTCTTCTCTTGATTTGGCCATGATTTCGGAAATGCATAACTGTCATTTTATTGGTTCGCTGCTCATTCAGCTCACATAAGCGCGATTTAAGGATACATTAGAGTGCAGTATTTTACAATTTTGAAGAGCCAATCTTTTTATGTTTATGTCTAAATGGATCTTTTGTGTATCTTTCCATGTTTCTCTAGAATTTTAATGAATATTCATAATTTTGAGTCGTTTGTACTAGGTTGTTAACGATGGAGACATGTTTTTATGGCGGGAGTTGGGAATTAATTCATGGCCAACGTTCGCTATTGTGGGACCGAACGGAAAGCTTCTTGCACAGATTTCAGGCGAAGGACGTAGAAAGGTATCGAAAAACCTTCCATGCATCGTCTTCAAAAATAGTTTTTGTATAACGCTAAATATGCTATAAATCAAAATCTGATAAAATACAATATATTTATATGTTGAATGCTAGAAAGAACATTCAAAATATTCTTATGAGATTAACGAGGGACGTTTTTTCGTGAAGGATCTTGATGATTTTATCGAGGCAGCCCTTCTGTTTTACAGTGAGAAGAAGATCCTCGACAGCCGACCGCTTCCTTTGAGATTAGAGAAGGATAGTGATCCCCGTTTAATTACATCTCCATTGAAATTTCCTGGGAAACTGACCATTGATGTTCTTAACAACAGGCTCTTCATATCCGACAGTAATCATAATCGCATTGTATGTTCTCTTCTTAACTTTCGATGCTCTTCATATCACTATTTTCCGCTCACTGTGAGATAGAGAACCTAATATTCCTAGTACGGCCACCTCATAGTTTCGAGTCGCTAGAGTTACACGTTTTATCTAAGGCTATTGCTTTTCTGCATCATTTGGGATCGTCTCACTAAAGAGGGACATAAATCTCGGCCTTTTATTTTAAGTTGAATGTACCACCGTGAGAGCGATATAACTTAAATGTTTGAAATAATTGTCGAAGGCAATAGACTTTCTTCAAAGATACAGTGGTTATGTTTGTTAGACGAACACGACTCTCCACAATGGTATGATATTGTCCACTTTGAGCATAAGCTCTCGTGGCTTTGCTTTGGGCTTCCCCAAAAGGTCTCATACCAATGAAGAGAGTATTCTTTGTTTATAAACCCATGATTATTCCCTAAATTAGCCGATGTGGGACTTTCATCATCTAACACCTCCCCTCGAACGAAATGCGCCTCTCCTTAATCGAGGCTCGACTCCTTTGGAGTCTTAGTCATTTTTTACTGCCTTCGAGAAGGCTTGACTCCTTTTCTTTTGGAGTCCTTTGTTCGATGTTTGAGGATTTACCAATCTATTGGCAGGACTAAGTTTAGGGTATGACTCTAATACCATGTTAGACGAACACGACTCTCCACAATGGTATGATATTGTCCACTTTGAGCATAAGCTCTCATGGCTTTGCTTTGGGCTTCCCCAAAAGGCCTCATTCCAATGGAGAGAGTATTTTTTGTTTATAAACTCATGATCATTCCCTAAATTAGCCGATGTGGGACTTTTATCATCTAACAACGTTCAAGCCAGATAAGCCGAAGATAGGTTTCGATGAAGCAGCTCCAAGGATTTCTTTTTCCTTGTTGAAAGGGTGACCTAGGACAAGTTCAAGTAACGTGGTCATGTTGCATGGTAAACAAGGTGCCAATTAAAAGACGTGAGGATAATTATCCAAATTTAAGCGACGAATGAGCAGGTGACAAATAGATGGAGCACGGATACATCGTCATCTTTGGTGAAGTTGTAATCCAGGGGGGCCGTTTTTCATCAGTATTGGCTGGACTTAGTGATTATGTTATTTTTAAATGTTAAAATAATTTCTATTTTAATACATATTAATGATGCGTAGATGTATTGAAACTCGTTTTAACGTATATAGACATGGGGATTGACTGTTTTTAATATTCGATATTAGGTGGTAACTGATCTAAGTGGGAATTTCCTTATACAAATTGGTAGCACAGGTGAGGACGGTTTACGTGACGGTACCTTTGATGATGCGACCTTTAATCGTCCTCAGGTAAGCATCACGTTACCGATCTATACACATGTTTTATGGTACCTATGAAGGTTTGTATAATGCTCATCTGGATTCTCCAGGGCTTGGCTTATAATGCAAAGAAAAACTTGCTATATGTTGCTGATACTGAGAACCATGCTTTGAGGTAACGGTTAACGACAGAACGTCGAGATCATTTTGTCTGTCTCATTTTCTTATTCCTTTTTGCTCGACTCTCCCAATAACTTTTTTAAAACTTATTGTTATTTAGGGAGATCGATTTTGTTCGAGAGACGGTGCGTACACTCGCTGGAAATGGAACTAAAGGCTCTGATTATGAAGGGGGAAAACAAGGAACGTCTCAGGTAAGATTTTCGAAACAAGCTTCACATTAACCGTTTGTTCAAATCCGAAAATGCTTGTCAAAATATATGGTTCTCGACGACGAAATATAGAACGTTCTTCACAATTGATCATGAAAGTGAAGAGAAATATTTTAAGTTTGATTTGATTTTTCAGCTTCTCAACTCTCCTTGGGATGTTTGTTTTGAGCCCATTAGTGAAAAGGTCTACATAGCCATGGCTGGACAACACCAAATCTGGGTGCATGATACTTTGAATGGAGTAACTAAATCATTTAGTGGTGATGGATTTGAAAGGAATCTGAATGGATCCAGGTAATCGAGAAACATAAGCTTTTAATTGTCGAACTATTCTTCACATATTCTCCGTCCTTTATGTAACGTATGTAACAGTCCAAGCCTACCACTAACAGATATTGTCCTCTTTGAGCTTTCTCTTTTGGGGTTCCTCTCAAGGTTTTTAAAATGTGTCTGCTAAGGGGAGGTTCTCACACCCTTATAAAGAATGCTTCGTCCTCCTCCCACACCGATGTGGGATATTGCAATCCACCTCACCTTTGGGGCCCAACGTCCTTGCTTGCACTCGTTCCTCTCTCTAATCGATGTGGGATCTCACAATCCACCTCTCTTGCAACCAGCGTCCTCGTTGGCACACCGTCCGATGTCGTGGCTACTTTGGACTTTCCCTTTCGGATTTCTCCTCAAGGTTTTTAAAACGCGTCTGCTAGGGGTGGTTTCTACACCTTTATAAAGAATGCTTCGTTCTCCTCCCCAACCGATGTGGGATCTTACAATCCACCCCACCTTTGGGGCCCAGCATCCTCGCTTGCACTCGTTCCTCTCTCCAATCGATGTAGGATCTCACAATTCACCCCCCTTCGGGGCCCAACGTCCTCGCTAGCACACCGCCCGATGTCTGACTTTGATACTATTTGTAATAGCCCAGGCTCACCGCTAGCCGATATTGTTCTCTTTGAGCTTTCCCTTTCGGGATTCCCCTCAAGCTTTTTAAAATGCGTCGGCTAGAGGGAGGTTTCCACACCCTAATAAAGAATGCTTCGTTCTCCTCCCCAACTAATGTGGGATCTTACACTTTATCATAGACAAATTTTCACATGCATGAAAGGCACCTCGAGCCCCTTGTGGACCAAATTTTCACAAAATTTCACTTGGTTCGTGCGATAGTAATGTTTTGAGCCCTCTAGGACCATATTTTTTTAGGGAAACATAGGATGAAGATTTTGATTGTGTTCTTTGATTGCAAAAATACGCTTACCTAGTGAACGAGTATTATGCTTTTTGAGTGAGGCCAAGTAGCCACGAATCCGTTTGAACGAACGGTGGACGTTTTCTTTTGAACTCGTTTTCCTTAGTTCACTACATTACTCATTTTGTGCTATTTTACTCCATTATTTTCATTACCAGATACTTCAAATTTGATTTTATTTCTTTAAACTAAGATATCATTTTCTTTGTTCTCATTGAAATAGTTCTTCAAGTTCATCATTTGCTCAGCCCTCTGGACTTTCCTTATCTCCGGGTAATTGAACTTACATGAATTCAACCCGATTTAAGATGCTATAAAGAAAAATTACAATTTCAGTTATTGCTTGGTTTGTAGATTTGTCGGAGGTATATATTGCTGACAGTGAGAGTAGCTCGATCCGAGCCGTTGACTTAAAAACAGGTGGATCAAGATTGTTAGCTGGGGGTGACCCGATTTTCTCAGACAATTTATTTAAGGTAGCTTCATTTTATTAATGTTTAAAGTTTCTCCCATTTGTTATAATTTGTAGCAGCAAAATCTTCAATATCACTTGTCTTTTCTAATTCTTGCAGTTTGGAGATCAAGATGGTGTCGGATCTGAAGTACTACTTCAACATCCATTGGGCGTCTTGTGTTCGAAAGACGGTCAAATCTATATAGCTGATAGCTATAATCATAAGGTATTTCATTGTGCTTGAAAATAAAGCTGTTCTTACTTCTATGGTTTGAAAATATTATCGTAGCATCATTGGTTAAGGTTTGTGATTGGTTCTTCTGTAATGTTACTGTTCATTCCGTCCGCAGCTTGTGTTCATATAACGACGTAAAATGGTTTAGTAGACATTACAATATGGTTGCCCTGTCGCCATGTTGCCCTGTTTAGAAGACACTAAGAAACTTCTTCGAGGGGTTAAAGTAGATTTCAGAATGTCATACTCGTTGCCCGGTTGCCATATGGTTTAGAAGACACTTAGAAACTTCCCTAAGAGGTTAAAGTATATTTCAAAACGTCATACTGGTTGCCCTGTTGCCATATGGGTTAGAAGACATTAAGAAACTTCCCTGAGAGTTTAAAGTATATTTCGGAACATCATACTGGTCTCCCTGTTGCTATATGGTTGAAAAGACATTAAGAAACTTCCTCGAGGGGTTAAAGTATATTTCAGAACATCATATTGGACACCCTGTTGCTATATGGTTTAGAAGACATTAAGAAACTTCCTCGAGGGGTTTAAGTATATTTCAGAACGTCATACTAGTCTCCCTGTTGCCATATGGTTTAGAAGACATTAAGAAACTTCCTCAAGGGGTTAAAGTATATTTCAGAACATCATACTGGTCACCTAGTTGCCTTATGGTTTAGAAGACATTAAGAAACTTCCTCGAGTGGTTTAAGTATATTTCGAAACATCATACTGGTTGCCTTGTTGCCATGTGGTTTAGAAGACATTAAGAAACTTCATCGAGGGGTTTAAGTTTATTTCGGAACATCATATTGGTCTCCCTGTTGCCATATGGTTTAAAAGACATTAAGAAACTTCCTCGAGGGGTTTAAGTATATTTCGGAACATCATACTGGTTTCCCTGTTGCCATATGGTTTAAAAGACATTAAGAAACTTCCTCGAGGGGTTTAAGTATATTTCGGAACATCATACTAGTCTCCCTGTTGTCATATGGTTTAGAAGACATTAAGAAACTTCCTCGAGGGGTTTAAGTATATTTCAAAACGTCATATTGGTCTCCCTGTTGTCATATGGTTTAGAAGACATTAAGAAACTTCCTCGAGGGGTTTAAGTATATTTCGGAACATCATATTGGTCACCCAGTTGCCGTATGGTTTAGAAGACATTAAGAAACTTCCTCGAGGGGTTTAAGTTTATTTCGGAACATCATACTGGTCTCCCTGTTGCCATATGGTTTAGAAGACATTAAGAAACTTCCTCGAGGGGTTTAAGTTTATTTCGGAACATCATACTGGTCTCCCTGTTGCCATATGGTTTAAAAGACAATAAGAAACTTCCTCGAGGGGTTTAAGTATATTTCGGAACATCATACTAGTCTCCCTGTTGCCATATGGTTTAGAAGACATTAAGAAACTTCCTCGAGGGGTTTAAGTATATTTCGGAACATCATACTGGTCTCCCTGTTGCCATATGGTTTAGAAGACATTAAGAAACTTCCTCGAGGGGTTTAAGTTTATTTCGGAACATCATACTGGTCTCCCTGTTGCCATATGGTTTAAAAGACATTAAGAAACTTCCTCGAGGGGTTTAAGTATATTTCGGAACATCATACTGGTCACCCAGTTGCCATATGGTTTAGAAGACATTAAGAAACTTCCTCGAGGGGTTTAAGTATATTTCGGAACATCATACTGGTCTCCCTGTTGCCATATGGTTTAGAAGACATTAAGAAACTTCCTCGAGGGGTTTAAGTTTATTTCGGAACATCATACTGGTCTCCCTGTTGCCATATGGTTTAAAAGACAATAAGAAACTTCCTCGAGGGGTTTAAGTATATTTCGGAACATCATACTGGTCTCCCTGTTGCCATATGGTTTAGAAGACATTAAGAAACTTCCTCGAGGGGTTTAAGTATATTTCGGAACATCATACTGGTCTCCCTGTTGCCATATGGTTTATAAGACATTAAGAAACTTCCTCGAGGGGTTTAAGTATATTTCAGAACGTCGTACTGGTCTCCCTGTTGCCATATGTTTTTGAAGACATTAAGAAACTTCCTCGAGGGGTTTAAGTTTATTTCGGAACATCATACTGGTCTCCCTGCTGCCATATGGTTTAAAAGACATTAAGAAACTTCCTCGAGGGGTTTAAGTATATTTCGGAACATCATACTGGTCACCCAGTTGCCATATGGTTTAGAAGACATTAAGAAACTTCCTCGAGGGGTTTAAGTTTATTTCGGAACATCATACTGGTCTCCCTGTTGCCATATGGTTTAAAAGACAATAAGAAACTTCCTCGAGGGGTTTAAGTATATTTCGGAACATCATACTGGTCTCCCTGTTGCCATATGGTTTAGAAGACACTAAGAAACTTCCTCGAGGGGTTAAAGTATATTTCAGAACGTCATACTCGTTGCCCTGTTGCCATATGGTTTAGACGACACTTAGAAACTTCCCAAAGTGGTTAAAGTATATTTCAGAACATCATATTGGTCGCCTTGGTGCCATATGGTTTAGAAGATATTAAGAAACTTCCTCGCGGGGTTAAAATATATTTCGGAACATCATACTGGTCACCTTGTTGCCATATGGTTTATATGACATTAAGAAACTTTCTCGAGGGGTTTAAGTATATTTCAGAACGTCATACTAGTCACCCAGTTGCCATATGGTTTAGAAGACATTAAGAAACTTCCTCGAGGGGTTTAATTATGTTTCGGATTATCATATTGGTCACCCCGTTGCCATATGGTTTACAATTCTGCTATTTCTACTCGGTTATCAAGATTGTAACGCTCGAATTCTCTTTGATCCCTAATCACTTCAGATCAAGAGGCTAGATCCAGTCAGTAAAAGGGTAACTACAATAGCAGGAACAGGGAAAGCTGGTCTGAAGGATGGGACAGCTCTAGCAGCTCAGGTTAGCAACTATCCTTCATCTATATACTTATAATGTATTCATTTTCATTTGCAATTAAAGCAAAATGTGTCTTAAACAATTGTGTTTTGTAGCTTTCAGAGCCATCTGGAATCACTGAAGCTGAAGGTGATTACTCAGCTCACTCTTATACAACATATTACTATAACGTTGTTGAAAGTTTTCATGTACTTAACATGGTAGCATCATGACTGCATCTAACGTTCTAAGATGACTTAAAAATTTACGGAGTGTGAACATCTATTATGAAACAAGCATGAATCTTTTTTTGTAAGATCTCATGTAACGACTCAGGCCCACCGCTAGCAGATATTGTCCTCTTTGGGCTTTCCCTTTCGGGCTTCCCCTCAAGGTTTTAAAACGCGTCTGCTAGGGGAAGGTTTCCACACCCTTATAAATGGTGGTTTGTTCTCCTCCCCAACCAATGTGGGACATCACAATCCACCCCCCTTCGGGGCCCAACGTCCTTGCTGGCTTTCTTTCCTTTCTCCAATCAATGTGGGACCGCCCCCAAATCCACCTCCCTTTGGGGCCCAATATCCTTACTGACACACCGCCTCGTGTCTACCCCCCTTCGGGGAACAGCGAGAAGGCTAGCACATCGTCCGGTGTCTGGCTCTGTTACCATTTGTAACGGCCCAAATCCACCGCTAGCAGATATTGTCCTCTTTGGGCTTTCCCTTTTGGGCTTCCCCTCAAGGCTTTAAAACGCGTCTTCTAGGGGAAGGTTTCCACATTCTTATAAATGGTGGTTTGTTCTCCTCCCCAACCAATGTGGGACATCACATCTCATATCAGTTGGGGAGGAGAACGAAGCATTATTTATAAAGGTGTGGAAACCTCTCTCTAGCAGACACGTTTTAAAAACCTTGAGGGGAAGCCCGAAAGGGAAAGTCCAAAGAGGACAATATCTACTAGCGGTGGGCTGGACTGTTACAAATGGTATCAGAGCCAAACACCGGGCCATGTGCCAGCGAGGAGGTTGAGCCTCGAAGGGGGGTTGACACGAGGCAGTGTGTCAGCAAGGACGCTGGACCCCAAAGGGGGGTGAATTGGGGAGTCCCACATCGATTGGAGAAGGGAACGAGTGTCAACGAGGACGTTGGGCTCCGAAGGGGAGTGGATTGTAAGATCCCACATCGTTGGGGAGGAGAAGGAAGCATTCTTTACAAGGGTGTGGAAACCTCTCTCTAGCAGACACGTTTTAAAGACCTTGAGGGGAAGCCCGAAAGGGAAAGCCCAAAGAGGACAAAATCTACTAGTGGTGGGCTTGGTAAGGATGCTGGGCCTCGAAAGAGAGTGGGTGGAGGGGTGGATTGTAAGATCCCACATCATTGGGGAGGAGAACAAAGCATTCTTTATAAGAGTGTAGAAACCTCTCTCTAGTAGACGCGTTTTAAAGACCTCAAGGGGAAGCCCGAAAGGGAAAGCCCAAAGAGGACAATATCTGCTGGCGGTGGGTTGGACCATTACATTTTCAGTCTTTTAACAATGTTATCTGCGTACACTCACTTTCACGGAAATATACTGCCTCTCGGTCTTCGAAATAAAATTTGTTCGTGTCATTACAATACATTTTTAGTTCATTCTTTTTGAAACTATTTTGGTCAAAAGCTTACATTTAAAGGTCATTTCTTCTGCCCATGCAGGAAGACTTTTCATTTCTGATACAAACAACAATGTTATCAGATACTTAGATCTGAACAATCAAGAACAGCCTCAACTCTTAACATTGGAGCTGAAGGGAGTTCAACCTCCAAATCCAAAACCCAAATCTTTTAAACGACTTCGTAAACGTTCATCCGACACTCAGACGATCATCGTCGATGGGGGCTCATTCCGTGAGGGCAACTTATCTCTGAAAATATCATTACCAGAAGAATATCACTTCTCAAAGGTCCACTTTACTTTCTCTCATGAACACGATGAACTTGTAGATATCGATTACTTCATGTCATTCATAGCCACTCGTATTTAATAACACGAAATGATTCCTGTGGCCTTCGTTCCAAAACATATGCCTTATACTTGTAATTGCAGGAAGCTCGGAGTAAGTTTATCGTCGAAACCGAGCCCGAGAGTGCATTGTCTATTGACCCGTCGGATGGATATCTTAGTCCAGACGGATTCGCCAACCTTCGTTTTAGGAGATCTTCTCCTGCAGCTTCACTTGGTAGAATAAGTTGCAAGGTACTTCCTACATGAGAGTCTATGAATTTGCCTCTTGGTTATTCTGGTTATATAGTTCATCTAATTTATGATTACAGGTTTACTATTGCAAGGAAGATGAGGTGTGTCTATATAAATCGCTGTTGTTTGAGGTACCCTTTCGTGAGGAACTATCCGAAACGAGCCAGGCCGAAATTACACTCGCGTTTGAAGTGAAGCCGAAAGCTTCAACAAGCAGCTTGCCACTATAATATTCACATGAACTCATGAATACATAAGTATTGAATGAGTGTGTGTGGAAGAATAGAGTGATCTTCTGATGACAATTGAAAATTACATTTTCATAGTACAAACATTTGATTGATAGGAAGAAACTTGGTTTTTCTATATCATAGCTCATCTAGAGACACTTGAACTCAGTAGTGAGGATTTCCCAAACATCTCGAGCCCTTACGACCCTCCGGAATTTTGAAATAGGAAAATTTGAGATCCCGCATTGGTTGGAGAGGGGAACGAAACACTCCTTATAAGGGTGTGGCAACCTTTTCTTATTAGACACGTTTTAAAACCTTGAGGGGAAGCTTAGAAGGGAAAGGTCAAAGAAAACAATATCTACTAGTGGTGAGGTTGGACTGTTACAAATGGTATCAGAGCTAGACACCGGGGCGGTGTGTTAGTGAGGACATTGGGCCTCCAAGGGGGGTGATTGTGAGATTTCACATCGGTTAGAGAGAGGAATGAAGCATTCCTTATAAGGGTGTGGAAATCTTTCCTTATTAGACATGTTTTAAAACCTTAAGGGGAAGGTTAGAAGGGAAAGTTCAAAGAAAATAATATCTACTAGCAGTGAAGTTGGACTGTTACAAATGGTATCAGAGCTAGACATCGGGCGATGTGCTAGTGAGGACGTTGGGCCTCCAAGGGGGTGATTGTGAGATCCCACATCGATTGGAGAGAGGAACGAAGCATTCCTTATAAGGGTGTGGAAACCTTTCTTTATTAGACACGTTTTAAAACCTTGAGAGGAAGCTTAGAAGGGAAAGTCCAAAGAGAACCATATTTGCTAGTAGTGACTTGACTGTTACAAATGGTATCAGAGCCAGACATTAGGCGGTGTGCCAATAAGAACGTTGGGCCCCCAAGGGGGGTGGATTATGAGATCTCATATCAGTTGGAGAGGGGAACGAAGCATTTCTTGTAAGGGTGTGGAAATCTCTCCCTATTAGACGTGTTTTAAAACCTTGAGTGAACGCTCAGAAGGAAAAGCCCAAAGAGGACAATATCTGCTAGTGGTGGGCTTGAGCTGTTACAAATAGTATCAAAGCTAGACACGGAGCAGTGTGCCAATGAGGACACTGAGCTCCCAAGGGGGGTGGATTGTGAGATCCCACATCAGTTGGAGAGGGGAATGAAGCATTCCTCATAAGGGTGTGGAACCTCTCCTTGTTAGACGCATTTTAAAACCGTGAGGGGAAGCTCATAAGGGAAAACACAAAGAGAATAATATCGGCTAGCGGTGGGCTTGAGCTATTACAAATGACATCAGAGTCAGACACCGAGCAGAGTGCCAGCGAGGAATGTGAGATCCCACGTCGATTGGAGATGGGAACAAAGTCATTCCTTATAAGGGTGTGGAAACCTCTCCTCATTAGACGCGTTTTGAAACCTTGAGGGGAAGCCCAGAAAAGAAAGTTCAAAGAGAACAATATCTACCAGTGGTGGGCATTAGTTGTTACAGAAGCAATAAATCACAGGTGAAATTCCAATAGAATACCATGTTTATGCTTTTAAGCATTACAGAAGCTTAGAAGGGAAAGTCAAAGAAGACAATATCTGCTAGTGGTGGGTTTAAGCTGTTACAAATAGTATCAAAGTTAGACACTGAGCAGTGTGCCAGTGATGACGCTAGGCACCCAAGGAGGGTGGATTGTGAGATCCCACCTTGGTTGGAGAGGGGAACGAAGCATTCTTTATAAGGGTGTGGAAATCTCTCCCTACTAGACGTGTTTTAAAACCTTGAAGAGAAACTCAAAGGGAAAAACCTCAAAAAAGACAATATCTGCAAGTGGTGGGCTTGGGCTGTTATCAATAGTATCAAAGTTAGATATTGGGCGGTGTGCTAGCAAGGATGCTAGGCCCCCAAGGGGATGGATTGTGAGATTTCACATCGGTTGGAAAGGGGAACGAAGCATTCCTTGTAAGGGTGTGGAAACCAATCCCTATTAGACTCGTTTTAAAACCTTGAGGGAAAGCTCAAAAGGGAAAGCTCAAAGAGGACAATATCTGCTAGTGGTGGGCTTGGGCTGTTACAAATAGTATCAAAGCTAAATACTGGGTGGTGTGCCAATGAGGATGCTAGGCACTCAAGGAGGGTGGATTGTGAGATCTCACCTTGGCTAGAGAGAGGAACGAAGCATTCCTTATAAGGGTGTGGAAACCTCTCCCTATTAGACGCGTTTTAAAACCTTGAGGGAAAGCTCATAAGGGAAAGCCGAATAAAGACAATATCTGCTAGTGGTGGGCTTAAGACTGTTACAAATAGTATCAAAGCTAGATACTTGACGGTATGCGAGCGAGGATGCTAGGTGATCCCACATTGGTTGGAAAGGGGAACGAAGCATTCCTTATAAGTGCGTGAAAATCTCTCCCTACTAGACACGTTTTAAAACCTTGAGGGAAATCTCATAAGAAAAAGTCTAAAGAGGACAATATTTGCTAGCGGTAGGTTTGTCGGTGAACTTTTTAACACCAAGTTTCTTCCAAAGACCCACATTAGGTACCTTCCTGTTGTGAATCATATAGCGGTCGGGCAATCTGTCATCGTCTTGGCTCGAGTAACGGGAACATCACATCGTCACACATTCGTATTTTCCAAGGTCCAAGTAAGTTGTTGAATTTCTTATAAAATTCGCATGTACAATGCACACCTAGACAGACATTAATCAGGTGCACGTTCATAATATTGTATACACCATTTCAGATATGCTTATAATTGTTTAGTATGAAAAAGACAGATCTTTAGACTGACCAGACCATGTGAGATGAATATGCATATCTTTAATCTACAACCATGACAGCTTTTCTTCCATTACACACCATGTTCTGTTCTTCTAATCATAATTTTCGTCAAAGAACCACCTCGTTGGCTCAATGTTCTGTTCATTGTTTTTCAAATACAAAGCTCTTACGACTTGTTTGACTAATTGTTTTTGTGTTAAAGTATTAAACCACCCGCTTATAAGCTTGTACTTTTGGGTTCATTGGTGTTGTAATACGGTATCGAGCAAGAGACTTTGCGTTCGAACCCCTGTAGGGTGCGGGATTAAATGGTTAAGTTATACTAGGTAGAAATCAATTTAATGGAATTGGATCTCGCTTCTTTCTTTGATCCTAATCGTCTTGCATGGAAGGAGACAGATGACAAAGATTTAGCTTTTCTCACCCCTAATTATATACCACTATTAGTTTGTGTCTGACCACGCGATTAGTTCAAACTCATACCTAACCACCTTGCTTTTGGAGATGACAGAGACTTTATTCGACGTCTTGTCTTATCCATAGTCTGCTAATCTAATCCTTACAAGCTTGTCTTAAATGAGATTTATGTCTTTTCTTTGTTACACAATACTGATGGTACTCTTCTATATATGGTTCTTTCTCTTCTTCTTTCCGACTTTTATTTATGGTCGGGCATTTTTCAATTTCTAATACTCCACCTGTATCTGAATACAAGGCTTGTTCGACTATGTCCACAAACTCGTAAGCTCTCGAGGCAAGGTGAAAAGGAAAAGATGTTTTAGCTTTTTTTGGTAATTACCACGTAAGTACGTTTTTCTCATGTTAGATGTCACTACTACGTTAAAATGAAAGTCAAGTGAATTTAATGTTAATTTGAAACGACTTTTGTTACTCCAAAAGTATTTTAAACCGAGTCAAATCGTTGACAAGTGAGACAAAGAAATGGTTTAGTTGTGAAGTTGATATGAATTATTTGGAAATGGGAGAGATTATTATATTATGAGGAAAGGTATTAATTATATTCATCAACACATGTTAGGGGACAATGGAACACAAACCAATCATATGCTTTTTCTTAAACCTTATCTTGTTTTTTCTGACTGTCTTTTTCAAACATAAAACATTTTTTAAATTTTAATTTTAATATCAAATTATAATCTTCCGCTAAATTAATAAAAATATTTTTGAAATTTATACTTTATTTTAAAAAAATATATTTGAACGTCACGGGTGTTTCAAAAATACTCCTGAAATTTCAAAAAATTTATTAATATTCTTAAACCGTTTAAAAAACTATAAAAATAAAATTTTTAAAAAACTTTAAAACACATTTTAAAACTTTTTTAAAATTTTCGAAATTTCAAAAGTAGTTAAAAAGGAGGCGAAAATTAGGGTGATGCACGGAGGTCAAGGTCGGAGGCGGAAAATGTAATCTCAAATTTTAGTTTAACACGTACTTTTGATGACAACGGACTTGCGGGTAGCACTCACTTCCCAGCAACAAGTGAGCTAAGCCAATTTGTTTTTGCATCGCCTACGCCACACAACGTATACTCGAGCCTCTAGCCCAGAAAGATTTCGAAAGAGAGTTTTGAAAGTAAGACTTGAAAGATTGAAATTGGTGTTATATGTAATGCAAGCAAAAAAGCAACAACAACGACTTACAACATATAACTATTGGGTAGGAAAAAGTTGACTAGAGGCGGGTCATGGCCCCGAGATTAAATGAACATCCTTATCCGAAACTTCAGGCATCATGGGTTTCATCATATTAGATTATTAATATATTAATGTGTTGGTTATGGATAAGCATGAATCTTTTGTTGTTAATCTAAGGATTTGTTTATTCTAACTCTTGATTAAAACAATCTTAAAAAGATGAGAAATATTGAGGATCACGATGACCATAATTTAAAATATGAGTATTGTAAATAGGTTCGATTTTCACGGGAGATGTAACGACCCTAGATTTCTACTTACCTAGAGTTGTTACGCTATTGACATCATAGCGTAATCATTTTGTGCGGAAATAAGCGTTTAAACTTTATTATAATACATAAACTTCATCTTAAAACATTGTCATGGACTTACGTGTTCGAAAACATTTTTAAAATGACACAATGAAATACTAAATGAAATATATAAGCGTTAATATTAAAAACATCATATTCTAACCTAAATCTAAAAAAATAAATACAACTATCCTATGCATGTTCCATGGTCTCGAATTGCGATGTCATTGTCACTTGTATAGGGATTTCTTGCTTTTACTTGAAATAGAAGTAGCTAAAAAAATAAATACAACTATGCATGTACCATGGTCTCAGTCATCGTCATCCGTATAGGACTGTCACCGTTCAGGGATGTCTTGCT